AGGGAGGTCTACTGTAGTGACCACGTATGTATTTTCAGAGACATAAACCGGCCTCCTGGAAAGTGGCTTCATCTCCTAGAACTCTATCCCTCAATCAGAACGTTGCTCCTCCAGCTGAAGTACAGTTTGTGTACTCCTATTCTAATAGGAAGAGCTGTGCTTGTGAAGTTCAGGAACAGTTCTTGTGTTTGCTGTGCCACTGTGTAATCACGGTAGAACACCATGCAATTCAGTATAGTAAGCTCCTGCCTTTGAGTCATCTCTAACTTATGTATGTCCGTCCTCCTTCAGATTTATGAGGCTGTAAATCATAATGAGAGCAGACTGTCTCATCTCCCTCTCATATAGTGCTAATGGATCCAAATGAAAGAGTATAAACTATAGAATCTGCTGGACCTTGAGTTTTCATATTTGTAAAGTAAGAGCACTGGGACAAATACTAGTTTTCTACATTAGTTTTAATATTTTTTTTAGCTTTTAAAATTTCGTACTTCCATAAGACGTAGAGGTGGAAAATGGGTAAAAGTAAGAACTACATGTAGAAAATAATAGATAATATTCTTAACTAAAAGTAAACTCCAAGCCTTGATCTGAAAAAATAAAAAAGAAGTGAGTACTTAAAAAAATTCCACTGCATGTGTATGACCAGTGTTTTGGCATAGAACATTCTGCAATAATGTGTGACATGTGGACAACAGTTTTTTCATTGCACATGAGGCTTTGAATACTAATGAGCGAAGGCCAGATGAGTTGTGGGAGGATATCAAGGGTATCATCCAGGAAGAGTGCAAATGGTCATTGCAAAGACAGAAGAGGAAGAAAAGACCAAAATGGATGTCAGAAGAGACTCTGAAAATTGCACTGGCGCGCAGAGACGCCAAAGCACAGGGAAGAATTCAAGATACTAAAGAGTTGAATAGAAGATTTCAAAAGGCAGCACGGGATGACAAAGCAAAATATTACAATGAAATGTGCAAGGAGTTGGAGTCAGAAAATCAAAAGGGCCAAACTCGCTCAGCATATCTTAAGCTCAAGGAACTGAAGAACAAATTCAAACCTCGAGTTGCTATAATCAAGGATGCTTTCGGCAGAATGTTAAATGATCCAGGAAGTATTAAAAGAAGATGGAAAGGATATACTGAATCACTTTACTGAAAGGAATTGGCAGACTCAGAAGAATTTCATGAAACAACATATGAGCAAGAGCCTATGGTGATGAAAGAAGAAGTTCAGGCTGCTTTGAAGGAAATGGCAAAAAATAAGGCTCCAGGAATAGATGGTATACCAATTGACATATTTCAGTTAACAGATGCTGCCATGGACGTGCTCACCAAATTGTGCCAAGAAATCTGGAGAATGACCACTTGGCCAACTGACTGTAAGAGATCGATATTTGTTCCTATCCCAAAGAAAGGTGACCCAACAGAATGTGGAAACTACAGAACAATCTCACTGATTTCACATGCAAGCAAGATTTTACTGAAGATTATCCAAAAACGACTGGAACAGCACATCAACAGAGAACTACCAGAAGTCCAGGCTGGGTTTAGAAGGGGTCGTGGTACTAGAAATATTGTAGCTGATGTTAGATGGATCTTGGCTGAAAGCAGGGAATACCAGAGGAATGTCTATCTGTGTTTCATTGACTATGCAAAGGCATTTGACTGTGTAGATCATAACATACTATGGCTGACTCTGAGAAGAATGGGACTCCCAGAACACTTGATCGTTCTAATGTGAAACTTATACTTGGACCAGGAGGCAGTCGTCAGAACAGAGCACGGAAACACTGAATGTTTCAAAATTGGGAAGGGCGTACGCCAGGGATGCATCCTATCTCCCTACCTTTTCAACCTATATGCAGAACAGATTATCCGGGAGGCTGGGCTCTATGAGGAGAAATGTGGGGTCAAGATTGGTGGACGCTTTATCAATAATCTGGGTTATGCGGATGACCCAACCCTGCTTGCTGAAACTGGGCAGGACCAGAAGCACTTGCTGCAGAGTGTCAAGGACTGCAGCCTACAATATGGACTGAGGCTTAATGTCAAGAAGACAAAGATTCTCACCACTGGACCAATTGGCAGCATCAGGATGGATGGTGAAGAGATTGAGATTGTACACAGCTTTAGTTTGCTTGGCTCCATAGTCAACAGTCTTGGCACCAGCAGCCAGGAAATTAAAAGGCACATTGCAATGGGAAAGTCTGCTGTTAGGGACCTCTCCAAAGTGCTGAAGAGCAGTGGTGTCTCTTTGGACACTAAGGTGCGTCTGATACAGGCCACGGTCTTCGCAATCACCTGTTATGCATCAGAGAGTTGGACAATGACCAAGGAGGATAGAAGAAGGAGAATTGATGCCTTTGAGCTGTGGTGCTGGAGAAGAGTATTGAGAATACCATGGACTGCTAGGAAAACAAACAGATTTGTCCTGGAAAGGGTTAAACCGGGTGGCTCCTTGGAGGCAAGGATTCTGAGGCTCCATCTAACATACTTTGGACATGTTGTGAGGAGGGATTGGTCCTTAGAGAGGGACATCATGCTTGGGAGGGTGGAGGGACAGCACAGGAGAGGAAGGCCCTCTATGAGGTGGATTGATTCAGTGACTGGGATAATTGGGATGGGTGTATTGGCACAGGACAGAGCAGAGTTCAGGGCTGTTCTACATAGGGTCGCTATGAGTCGCAGGCGACTTGATGGCACATAACAACAACAACAACTGGTCAATAATGATCTTCTTCAAAACTATTTTAGACGATGGTGATACTATCAGAAAATTAATTGAAATTATTCACATAATTTGATCATTTCAAGAAACTTTTATAAAGTCTCCACAAACTTTCCCATTATAAAGAGACTTCTGAAAAAAATGCATGATAAAATTAAAGTACAGTTCCACTTTGGAAAAGTAAGGAACTAATTTTGGCTTTAAGATTTAAAAAAAAACACAACACCAAACTGTTAAAAAATATGGAGGGGAATGTGGAGAAAAAGGCGTTTCCAATTGATAGATTCAACAGGTCTTAAAATACCTTTTGCAAAGGAAAACTTTAAGCACAAAATATACTATAAATATGAGTCTTTCTAAACAAGGTGAACAAGTAGGCAGATTTTCCATCAGCTGTTCCCATAGTGGAGAAGTCTCCTGGGTAAATGTTTCTATTGAGAGACTTCTGAAAGATAGAGTTTGCTACCTCCAATGATTTTCTAAAACTATATCATGAGTCCACACTCTCCCGAAATCTCATCCATTCTATCATTTATATCCAATTTTTAGAATATTTTCAACATTGGCTACTCCATCTCCATTCTTAAGTCTCCTTGGGAATCTCCCACCAGTATTAGATTGCTGTTATCTTTTAGTTGATTGAAATAGTCTGTGTTCTTCAAGGCATCCTCAAGTTTGTTAAATACACAAATGAAATCTCTGTTAAACACTTTAAGCACTCCATTTTCATAAAAATCCATAAAATTGGAAACAACTTGGGCATTTGGATGATAACCAGCTTGCTGAATAACCTCCTCTAGGACATTACCAATACTAGCCAAAAATATGGACACAGGGACACTGTATTTTTGGAGCTTATTAAAAGAAATTTTTATATCCATCTTTGAACATAATGCTGGATCATCTCAAAATTTCTTTAAGTTTTGCTTTTGGTAAAGCTTGTTCAACAAGTAAACCATGATGCTAAATATATCATTACACCATATATAGGTACTTCTCTACAACAACAGGATCAACTTCAATAGCATTTTTCCTTCAGTTGCAATAGCTTTTTCTGACATTCATCTGTAACCAGTTTCCAGTTGTCAAAGACATTATGACATGTTGGACATCTCTTTGTACTACTTAGTGTCATATCAAAATCTGTTATTATCTGAAGTTTGGCAACTCCTCCTTTGATAAGATCAGAAATAATTTCTTCTACTGTTGTAGGATTTTCTATTTATTTATTTTATATTGGTTTATTTAAAAAGTTCAAATACATTATTTTTCACCTGGGTCTAATAGGATTTTTGATGCGAAAAAGAAACTTGTCTGGAATTCTGGCATCATTTCACAAAAACAACAGACTTGATTAGTTATTTTTTGGTTATCCATTCTTCATCTTGATGATCTTGGTCATCTGTCCTGTTTTCCTCTTCAAGGTGAATATGGTCTGGGCCAGTACCACCCCTGTCACCAGGGCACACACACTGGTGCTCATAACCACGCCCACCCTCGCTGCAGCCGCCTGGTCCAGAAATGCGTACTTTGTATACACTTTCACTGATGTGTTAGTTGACTGTGCTTCCTTAATTATTTGACAAATGCATAGTTTGGTTCTGTCACTTTTGTTTGTTTTTTACTGTAGTTTGTGTCTGGGGGTGGGGGAAAAAGGAGAGAGAAAGCAAGGTCTTATCATTCTACAGTGTCAGTAAACAAACACAATCAGCTTGTAATTTGTATCCATCCATAACATGGGAATGTATCAGGCAACTGTTGAAAATTGCATTTGACTTTGTATTTTATTTCAAGAAAAGATACACTACCTATTTCATGTAAAAAAGGTTGAGTCTACCTGCATTCTTCCCTATTAAATTTCAACTGTGAGACTTCTGTTACAGTTTGCTTTTATTCAGTTAAACTACCTGACAGGTTATTAGTCAGTGGATTATATCCATATTTTTCATGAATATATATGAACATTAAGATTCAGACTTTAGTTAAAAGATCTACAATATGACTATTGAATGCAGTTTCTCATACATATTTACTATTTGTCCTAAGACATGATTATCATTCAGCTCTCTATGAACCAGGAAGGCTTCAAAATAAGGCTCTTTCTTGCAAAATTTAGGACTGCTGGTCATAATTAGTGTTTCAAAGGTAGAAGAATAGGCCTATACATATGGTCATATTTACTTTACAAGAATACAGAGACAACACTCTTGATTTGAATTAGCCTTTAGGGATAAATCAAATGCTACTGTAATTATCTGCATTTACTCTTTTAGTTCAATTTTCCATTCGTTGAAACTTACACTGTTGAAGAAGTAAAAGTGGAACGAAAGCATAGTATCAGTGGACACAATCCAGAAGAGAAAAATGAACCTTATGAAATTGCTCTAGAAAGCAGTTTCCCTTGGAATGTCGATGGTGATTTAATGGAAGTAGCATCAGAAATTCATGTTAGGTAAGTTTACTTATTTCACCAACTTTTAGACTGTTTTTATTATACTGTGTGCTGAGATTAACAGCACACTATTAATCAGAAGCCTCAGGTCAAACATACTTACAAGTCTTCATCCAGTTATATGAATCTATAATGTCATTTGCTATTATCAACTCCATCCATGGCTCAGTTCCCCAATTCCTCTATGACCTTTTGGGTGCAGTGAAAAGATTTGCTAGAAGGCCCTACAGAGACTCAGACCCGTCAGGGAAATGACTCATGTGACTGCAGGAATGCAGGCTGGTGTTTTTGCAGAAACTGGCGAGCAGTGGGTTGGTCTTGATGCCAAAGGATACCTAAACACAGTCGCACTGCTGCTCTTGTGTTTGTGTTTTCACACACCCCTCAGTGTGGAGAGTGCTCGCTTATATTTATCTCCCAGCTGTTGCTGATTTGGGACACCATGTGTCTGCAGTTACGGTAGTTGGAGAGCAGACAGGGCTAAGGTAATGGCAAAAAAAGCCAACTTTAGGCTAACACTGCATGAACACAAAATGCAGTCGGAAGGGAAGGTACCTTTTCTCACACCATCAATAACAGTTTTTACTGTTGTTAAGTGCCATTGAGTCGAACACGACTCTTAGCAACCCTATGAACAGCAGATCTGAACTCCCCTATCCTTTGCCACCTTATCATCTCCGATTTACTTGATCCCATTGCAGCAGCCACTGTCTCTCCCTCTCATTGAGGGTCCTCCTGTCTTACGCTGACCCTCGACCTTCCAAGCATGATGTTCTTTTCCAAGGAATTAACTTCTACCTGGGTGATAATTCTAAAGGCAGTAAATCAGGGAGGTATAAAAAGATACATGCATAAATTTGAATAAATGAAAACCATTTCTTTCTCTTTTGAAATATACATGACTAAGTTTGAATAAACAAAAAAGCTTAACTTTACTAACCAATTGTTATGCAGAGCCTAGATTTTTACTTGGTTATAAGTGAATTTCTGGAATCTTTAATTTATTCACACACACATGTCTTCAATTTCAGTTATAGATTTTTAAAAGTAGATAAAGATCTTGAATTCTGTCTAGATGATTACAATATCCACCCACTCCATCAGGATTTTACCTGGTTTCATCTCACTCATAGCTAATACACAGTGATTTTAACAATGGTCCTAAAGCACAGCAGAGATGGTGAACACAGCACAGGATTGGGGAGGCTGTCACCTTATTGTGCATAAGGTTACTGTGATTCAGAGCCAACCTTACGGCACCTAACGCAAACAATAGCTAATGCTCTCTTTATTCACTTGCTTGCTCCATAGAGCGAAGGATGTGAAACTTCATCTCACGTCTCCTAGAGGGTCAGTGAAGAAGGGGGAAGACCCGGAACAAAATCGATTGATACAATGACCTTAACAATGAGCTCAAGAGTGGCAGAGTTGATGAGGATGTCACACGATAGGGCAGGGTTCAGATCTGTTTGTTTATAGGGGTGCTGTGAGATGCAGTCAATACTGATAGCACTTAACAACAACAAGCAAACACATTTAACTTTGTGGCGTGAGAAATAGTGTGTGTACTATTTAGCTTAATAACAAGAACAACTGGCATAAGCAGGTTTCAGAACATGCAAACCTTGCTATGCATTATGTCAGCGGCTGTCAAGAAGGAAGCAGAGTGTCAGTAGGTACAGGATGATTATATGTTGCAGAGGCAATGGAAGCATCAGGAAGTTGGTGAAGCATGCTATACAGTGGTTCTCATTTTATCAGGCCCTTCTCTTTTGGATTGCTGCTCTCGAATGCATTAATGAATGTTTATTTTATCATTCAATGTATACTTGATATTATGTGTCATTCTCTTAGTTGTATCTATGTATACATATCAATGTGAAAAATAGAATGATAGCTTGGTGAACTAACAAATATTCTAATGCTCTTTACAGATTACATCCAAGACTTATTTGTCTTTACGGAGGAGACATGGAAGAAATGAATGACTTCAAAGTAACCTGTAATTGTTTATAAAAGAATGTGGAAGATTGAATATTAAAATGAAAAGATATAGTCATGCTAGCACATATGCTAATAGAAATCTGTTTTATTTTTTTAAAGGCAGTGTAATACCATCACTGATGTTAGTGAAAATGAAATTTAAGGGCTGGAACAAATGAAAATGAGAAAGAAATTCATCAAAATAAATTCTGGCTTTGCTTGAAGACATTATGCTGAGTGACATATCTCAATCAAAAAGGAACAAATACTGCTTAGCACCATTGTTATAAAATAGGACTGTCATTGGGGTGGGATAGGAAGAGAATAGGAAAAGAGTGGATAGATAACGAACAATACATTGGAACAGATGAGGGAAATAAGTGGATATATGATTAGGTATAATATATATGATAATATATGACAATGATCTAGAAGAAGAGGTTGCTTGCAAATAGACTGAGTGGGGGAGGAAAATGTAACAATGAATGTATGAAAACCCAAACTTTCTATAAACTTTTGTTAAAATCACAGTTAAAAAATGTAAAACAAAATAAAATCCTGGGTTTGGTGAAATATTTATTGGAGTTAAAAACAAGAATTATCATGATTGGTTCATATTTAACAGAAATAATTCCAAAGTTAAACAATGTAAATCCTTTTATTTCTCAATATTTGGGTCCATTAATTCTCCCATAAAATTACTTACAGACTTAGAGTGATCATGTAAGAGTGCCCTAATTTTATTGACATAGGTTGCAATCAGGTTGCAATTGAAGGTCACACAGCTACTTAATGATTTAACCAGAAATAGAATCATCTTTCCGTATATTTTCAATACCGAAACCACATGCCAAAAACCAATAATCCATTATTATTATTATTATTTTACTATTTAGATCATGGTTACAATATTTAAACTATTTTTAAAGATGGAAAACTCACTTGATTTTTTTAATTCAGTTTTAATTCTAACAGTCTCTAAGAAATTTCACTTCAGACAATGCAAGGTATTTCTTTCTTCAGGTATATTATGATTTAAAATTAATTATGTTCATTCTGCACCTGAAAAGCCTGTGATAGCACAACCATAGCACATTTTCAGTGCACCTGATAATACTTGGAAGCTATGATTTCTGAAGAGGTAAGAAACAAATGTAAATGTCCTCAGGGTTAATCCCGGAGACAAAAGTTCTAAATTTGGATTGGATTTTTCATCATTATTTCCATTCTCCTAAAAAAAACCAATTGGTTTTTCATAATAATCCTGTTGCTGTTGAGGCAAATCCAACTCAGAGAGGACACTGTTGGGCAACGTAGAATGACTCCACAAGGGTTCCGAGGCGATAAATCTTTACAAAAGCCGACTGTCCCATCTTTCTTCAACAGAGTGGCTAGTGGATTCAAACTGTTGACCTTACAGTTATCAGTGAGTGCTTTAATTATTGAGTCATCAGGGCTTCTTAAAATGATAAGCTTAGTGCTGCTGAGATGGTTCTGAATCATTACAACACTCCATCAGCTTTCTCACGCTGTAAACTCTATTGGAGAGGACTGCCCATCGTCTTCTCTACAGTGGCTGGTATAGTTGAATAGCTTACCTTACCATTAGCAGTACAAACTAACACACCATGCACCAGGGCTTCTGTTTTAGAGATAGAGGCATAAAGACAAATCTTTTCTTCTTTAAAAGGAAAAAAATGATCTCTAAAACATTATATAATTTTGATTCTGTTTATGCATCTACACTGTTACAGACATCTCTGTATACTGTCCTGGGTTTCATGCTCAGAGGCTTCCACGAATCACTGTGCCTTCCTCATTCTCCAGAAGGCCTAAAAGTAAAAGCCATTAAGGAAGCCTGATGGTGAAAGGCCTTGAAGAGCACCTTAAAACTCTTCCAGCCTTTGCAATTTATCTACCTTGGTGGAATGAGAGATATCAAAAGCAATTCTGGTAAGGGTTCAGAAGGAAGTGAGAAGAGCTGGACTACCAGAAATGGCTAAGAGGGTGGGGGGGGAATGGCAGCAGCAGAACCAAGAGACCAGCAGGAGATGGTACAGAAAATAACCCGCTGAGCAAGAGAACCAAGCACCAGTGATGCCAATTTGAAGACTAAGGTGCACTGGATTCAAGCCATGGACTTTTTAATCATTTGCTGTGCATCTGAGAGCTGAACAGTGAAGAAGAATGACAGTCCATTGATGCCTTTGAATTGGATATCACATGGACTGAACATTCCTGGACTACCAGAAGAATGAAGAGCTATCTGGCTTGGGAAAAAATGCAGCCAGAGTGCCATTTAGAGGCAGGGATGGCAAAGCTTCATCTCATATTTTGGGCATGATGTTTGGAAAGGGATATCACGTTTGGAATGGTAGAGGATCAGCAAAAGAGAGGAAGACTCCCAACGAGATGGAGATGGGCTGACCTGGTGACTACAGCAGTGGCCTTAAGTGTATTAGAAATCATGAGGAGGGCAGAGTAGAGTAGGATTCAGGTCTGTTGTTCATAGGGTTGCTTTGAGTCATTCTTGATTTGATGACACCTAGTAACACCATCAGGTTTCTGTAAGAAGGGATGGATCCATTATCCAAGATGAGGGTGTGAGATTGCCATGTCCAAGGTGTAGGATAACGAGGCCTGCCAAGGCTGATGGGGTGGAATCACCACTTAGAGGGGCTAGGAAAATAGAGTTCTTGTGGCTTAGTTCGTGGTCCTTATGGCAAGGGGCTGTGCTGCAAACCCAAAGGCACATGGTTTGAATCCACCAACTTCTCCACGGTGGGCAATCTCCTCGTGTGTGATTGGAGGGCCAGTTGTGAGTGGGTTCTGATTTAACAGTCCTGAACAACAACAGGAGAATGGGCCATCCAGAGCCAAAAGAGGAATATTTTCAAACCCTGAGAGCTGAGATTGCCCATCCTTTTCCCACGGAGCAGTTGATGGCTTTGAACCACATGCCCTCAGGATTGCAATGCAGTTTCTCACCATTAGGCCACCAGAGCTCCCTAGAAATAGCTCAGTTTTTTACTTGTTTAGTGCCAGTTATGTCTTATTTTATCCCATCTGTCATGGCAATGTCTACCTTGCACCTGTTCCACCACTGTCATTTAGAAGGAGAAATTTGCTTTCTAGATTTCACAGGTTCACAGATAAAGAACACTGCTGCTGTAGGATGGAAGCTGGACTTGGAGTTGACAAGATTTTGGGGGATGATTTGATGGGGTAAAAGTGACAAGAACATGAATTTTGGGAGGCCAGTGGGAGGAATGCCTTGTACTGGATTGTGCCCCATAAAAATACATGTCAGCCAACTTTGCTGGCCACGGTTTTCAGTGTGCTGACAGTTCTATAATGATCCTCCATGCTGTGATAAGCCGTTCAGTTATAAGGGTAGAGGGGTCACTGCAACACCCTTGCTCAGTGTGTAGCCCTGATCTGACGTAAGGAAAGTTTTCTTAAGGTATATCTTGTATAATCCTTGCAAGATATGAAAGTAAGCAGAAAGCTTCAGCACCACCAAGAATAAGGAGTTAAGAGCAGAGTGTACTCTTTAGATCCAGTTTCCTGGGCTAATGACCTCTTAGACCCAGAACACAGATGCAAAGATATGTGGAGTTCTCTGGGTCACACACAAGGATGTTGAAAGGTAGTAAGCACCTTCCTATGGAGCCAAAAGAGAACGTTTTTCACTTGCTGCCTCCTAAGTCATACAAGAATAAATTTCTGTTTGTGAAAAATCCATGCCCCTGTGGTATTTTGGTTTGTGGTTTTTGGTGTTTTGTTTGTTTGTTTTTTAACAGCAGAACTACACAGTGTCACGAGTCTCCAGTGATTTGAATCCACTAGTTGCTGCATTAGAAAAAGACGGACAATCTCTTCCCATATAATTTATAGCTTCAGAAACCCAATGATGGAGGTTCGTCTGTGAGTCAGTTCATACTGTTACAAAAGTAAATAAAAAAAACACGTTTAAAGACACATATATACAATTCAGATGAAATTATGTGCATGAAATAAATATTTAAAAAATGAATGTATTTGCAAATGAAGATTTAAAGATAAATTATTTAAATCTAGGAAGGAAGTTCATCACCTAGTAAAATACATAACAATATTAACAACAGAATACTTTAAAAAATATGCCATCTTTCACATATTTCATGGACATTTTGATGTTCTATTTGTATTCATGGTATACAAACTAAATATTTTTTGAGTTTTAGGTATATTTATTCATTTTGCTTCCCTATCCAATGAAAAAGAGAATAGTTTCTCAACCTGATGAATGTGTATTTACTGCTCATATCTGAAGAGGATGGAGGAACTTTCATACTCCCATTTATACTTTTCTTAATTTGACTCCAGCAAAGATTTTTTTCACAGTACACAATCTGTAGGAAATATTAGCTCCTAATAGTTTTTGCACAGCTTTTTGAGATTTAAAAATTCCCTTAGTGAGGTACAGTTTTCATATCTCATTCCATACATCAGTGTATTTCTATTTCAAATACTAGCTAAAGTGCAAACATCCCTACTCTGCGGCTGAAGAATACAAATGAGAATTTTTAACTATCGTTGTTTATAAGCCAATAAAGACTTGACTATGATCTATTTATTTACTGAGTAGACAGGAGAAAGATATGAAAACCTGCTTCTGTAAAGGTCCCAGTCAAGAAAACCCTATGTAGCTGTTCGATTCCACTGCATGGGGTTAGTATGAGTCGAAAATGACTCGACAGCACCCAACAGTAATATCAACCCTTGCAAAAGTTGTGCTGTATGAACACTAATATATTTCTACCCACATAGGCTCATACACTCTATTAAAAATATATGTACATACACAGAGAAAAATCTGCAGATGTATAAACAATATTTATCCAGAAATCCATTAAGCTCAAACCACTGTACAAGTTCACTCTGAGGTTTGCTCATTGGATCCATACTATTTGCAGACGTGAATAAATTGCTCTTGAATGAAAGCCCACAGGAAATGCATTACACACAAGCATCTTTACAAGTAATTTCCACTTTAAGTCAATAATGGTCCTCTCCTTTATCTATTATGCAATTTCTGATGAACACTTTGAGGAGGTCTTAAAGATATGTTTAAGATTCACTCATTCAGTGGAGCTTATTTTATCAAGGCGAGCACATACATGATAATTAAGATTTCTTTGAAAAGAAAATATTGCAAGGCCAAGATTTCTCCAATCAAGTTATTTACTTTCCCAATACTACTCAATTCAGATACACTTTCAAGACATCTTCTAGGGCTTACTTATCTCAAGTAAATTGAATGCTTTAGTGTTTTTTTGTATCCATGTAAGATTGGAAAGGTGTTCTTTGGATATGCTAATTTTTCTTTTATAGTTATTTTCCCTCGAGGAGCAATCAGCTTGGATTTCTCACCTGCATTATGGCATGATAAGATTTGGAAGTGCACTGGAGTTTTGGCAAAATTCATTTTTTCTTTTTTTGGTGAGCGTGCTTAAATTTCTTCCTGAGTCTATTTGAGAGGAATTTTTAATCGTCTTTACTGTTCACGTAACTCCAGCTGTCTCTTCTGCTTTCTTCTTGCAAGATGGCTTTGTATTGTCTTTTAAAGAAGCCAGCCTGCAAATTGCATTTCATAGTTAATAGTGCATACTTATATTATACCCATACCAAACATCTAAATGGCTAACACCAATATTTCTTAAGCTATGTTCCATGGTATACTTATTATGAAGATTATTAGCAGCTGTAATTGGCAAACATGTTAGGATAAATAATCATTTTGGTTGTTACTACAGTACTTTTAAATATTATGTCCACCTCCTTCTCTTTTCCCCTCTCTCTCACATTTTTCCTCCCAAAATTGGCATTCAGTATAGTAGGCAATGCTTTAAATATTGTACAGCAATGTTCACAGTAGCATTATTCACCATAGCAAGAACATGGAAACAACCCAAATGCCTAGCCATATGGAATGGATTGAGAAAGTATGGTACATCCACACAATAAAATACTATGCAGCACGCAGGAGCAATGATTTTGCAAATTACTACCTAACATGGAAGGGAGTGGAGAGCATTATGCTAAGTGAACCTTGATGTAGCTGTTGAAAAGAAACAATCTATTAAGAAGGCATATTTTCCTAGAAAGATTTTGGTATTCGAGTTAGGAGACATATGGGATAAATACTATTCACTTCTTGTTGTGTACCATCGTCTTGGGACCCACTCATAGCTGAACCTCTGGTGGGTTTTCAGAGGCACTTAATTGCTTAGGAGGAAACTTCTCATCTTCCATGATCTGGTGAATTCAAACCATGTGCCTTGGGGACTGCAGGGCAGATTCTTACCATGAGACCACCAGACTTCCTTATATTCTCTTGGGATTGTTAAAATTTAACATTAAAAATACAAACATTTAAATAAAGCAACTTGAAACTGCAAGCTGACTTTGAGAAATTGTACATTGCCATTCTAAGTGGTCAGTATCAGCAGTTAGTAAGGACTTACCTTCCACATAACATAGGAAATCAATAAAAGTAAAATAAGTCCGAGTAGCAAGCTGCTTGAAATAATCACTACAGTGAAGAGACGTTTGGGTCTTTGATGATGTAGCCCTTCCAGCAGAACCTACATGAATGAAGCAAAACAAACAAAACCAAAAAAACACATGTATTGATTGAGAGACTTGATTATCTTTGTTTTGAAGCCTCTGCACACTTCCCCGCATTACTTAGAATCAACTATGCTATTCTCTGATTGTCTCTAAAAGAACCACAGAGAACATGGGTAGGTGCTTTTTAGCAGAAACTGTGAACACAATTGAGTTTTCCCAACGGTTTCTCCTCTAATCCATCCTGTTTTCACTGCTACCAAATTCACCTCTCTGAGGAGAGGCCCTTTTGCCAGTCAGGGAAAATGCTAGTCAGCAAAGTATTCATGGCCCTCAGTATCTGACCACAATCTACTTTTGTGACTTAGGTACTCGACAGGAGGTAATTACAAACTTCTTCGTAATGCTGTTTCCTTAGTAATGCTGCTATTATGTAATAATAAAAAACCCCTCATTTTCTAAAAAGGTATAATAAGAGCAAAAAAGGTCTAATAAAGACATATTGTTAAAAACGGGGCTTTGCTGGCATAGTCCATAGGGAGTTGTGCTGTTAACCCAGAGGCAGCGCTTCTCTGATGGTTTGAAAATTGGGAGAAAGATGGGCAGTCTCTTTTTGTGTGATTTAGAGCCTTGGAAAAATCCCTGGCGGGTCACCTCTGAGTTGGTTCTGACTTGACAGCAGTGAGGATTGAGTGAGTTTAAGTTATAATAAGCTCCGCGGGGGGAGAGGCTGGGTGGGTAGAAAAGTGCAGCAATGAATGAATGGAAATCCAAATTCTCTGTAAATGTTCATTAAAATTATTTTTTAAAAAAGTAAAAGTTATAATAAGCCCGTGCCCATTTTGCAATTGGGTTGTTTATCTTGTTGTGGTGCTCCAGTATTCTATAACTTCTAGATATAAGTCCCTTATCAGACATATCATTACCAAATACTTTTCCCAGTTTGTGGCCTCCCTTTTGACCCTGTTGGAGAAGTTTTTGGATGTGCATAGGAATTTGATTCTTAGAAGGTCCCATTCACCTATTTTATCCTCTCCAGGTTGTAGATTTTTCAGGATGCTTGGAAGACTATTAATGCTGTGGATTAGGGCTTCTCAAATTCTTCCAAGCTTTTCTCTAATGAAATTTATTGTCTTTGGTTTTAGTCCTACGTCTTTGATCCACTTCGAGTTGGTTTTTGTGTACAGAGTGAGGTGTGGATCTTGCTTGAGTTTTCAGCTTTCCAATTTTGCCAGCACCATTTGTTAAAAAGGCTGTAGTTTCTCCACTTAACTGATTTTATCTCCTTATAAAAACTTAGTTGTCCATAGGTAGATGGGCTAATTTCTCAGATGGCAAACAAACACATGAGAAAATGTTCCTAAGCTCTAGGAGAGATGCAAATAAAAAAAGAAAAACAACAAAAAACTATGAGATATTATCTTACCCCAGTAAGATTAGCAAAGTTTGACACAACAGCAAACAATAAGTAATGGTGAGGTTGTGGAGAAATTTGAACCCTTATTCACTTTTGGTGGGAGTGTAAAATGGTGCAACCACTATGGAAGGCAGTATGGTGCTTTCTCAAAAAGTTGGAAATAGAAATACCATTTGACCCAGCAATTCCACTACTGGGAATATACCCTAAAGATACCATAACTGCCACCCAAGCAGATATATGCACACCCATGTTCATTGCTGCTTTGTTCACAATAGCAGAGTTGGAAACAACCCAAGTGCCCATCAACAAACGAATAGATAGAGAAGCTATGGTATATTCACTCAATGGAATACTACGCTGCATTGTAAAAGAATGATGACCCTGGAGGACATTATGCTGAGTGAAATATCTCAGTTACAAAGGGACAAACACTGCATAATGTCACTGTTATACAAAACAGGACTGACATCGAGTTAGGGGGAATCTAAGAAAAGAAGGTTTAAATAATGTACACTGCATTGAAACAGATGAGGGAGAGAACGGTTTGAAAGGAATATATGTGATTAGGTATTATTTTCATAACAAGAGTCCAGAATGAGAGCTTCATGGGGGAGTGGACTTCGGTGGGGGGAATTGTATAATAATGAAAGTTTTTTGGGTTTTTTTCCTTTTACTTTTCAAAGAGGAGAACCAACTGAGGGGAGGGGTGGGCAGGGAGGAAAATGTGCAACAATGAATGGATGGAAATTCAAAGGAAAAATTTTCATTAAAATATCAATAAAAATTAATGATAATAATAAAAGGTATAATAAATCTTACATGTGCAACATTTTTATCCTTGTTTAATTCAATAACTTTTGGGTGCGGCTCTGGAAACGCCATTGCTCTTATTTCAAACTTGAGTGCTGATGTCTCATCCTAGGGAATAAAAGGAGGAAGAATCACTGTGGCCTACATTTTATCACTTGATCTACTATTTCAAAAATACATATATTAACAGATAAATTACTTGTTTGCTACCTAGAGATTCCCACAATGTATCTTCCCCAATTTATGTCACCACTGTTGGAATTAATTGCAACATCATGTTTGTTTTGATTACAAAGATGTGGTTTTGGGATTAACATATATGGCATCATTCTGTTGAAATGTTTACTTTTTATTTAACTGTTATTTCATAGACTCTAGTTCAGCTGGCCTAGTGGTAAGAAGCTTCCCTGCAATCCTGAGAGCATGTAGTTTGAATCCGTCCTCATGGAAGAGGGCTGGGCAATCTCCTCCCTCATGATTTACTGCCTGCTGCAGTAGCAGCCATGAGCTGGTTCTGACTCAACAGCACACATGAACAACAACAAGAAGAAACTGAAGCGTGTATTTTCTGGATATTGAATTATATCCCCAAATGAAATTCTCTATAAATATTTCCTCAAATCCATCTTGTTAGGACTATAATTATTTCTTATTTTTCTGTCTTCCCCAAAATTTCAAGGTAAGCTCAAATATTCCACTTAGTATATCATAATAAATCATGTCTCTTGGTTTTTAATGTGCCATATACTACTTCTGTTTTACTGAAATCATCTCATTTAACCTGCAACTTGCTGAAAATAGGTATTACTCATATTAATGAAAAAACAGAACTCCATAGTTAGGATTCAAGGCCGGTTTTATCTCAAAGTGTTAAGTATCTCAAAGTATGGAGTAAGTATCTTAAAGTGTATTCTAAGGAAGACACTTTCTTTTTTTAGAAATAACTCCAAGATGTGCTTAATGAATTGTAAAGTTCATATCTTTAAACCTTTCAAAAGCTTTAGTTTGCTGGGCTCCACAATCAACACTCTTGGTACCAGCAGCCAGGAAATGAAAAGATGAACTGCATTGGGAAAGTGCTGTCAGAGACCTCGCCAAAGTACTGAAGAGCAACAATGTCACTCTTGAGACTAAGGTGCACCTGATCCAGGCCATAGTCTTTGCAATTAATTTGTTATGCACCAGAAATCTGGAGAATGACTAGGGATAATAGAAGGAGAATTGATGCCTTTGAGCTGTGGTGCTGGAGATAAGTATAGAAATATATCATGAACTGCTAAGAGAACAAACAGATTAGTCCTACTGAGGGTGAGATCAGGCTGCTCTTGGAAGCAAGGATTCTGAAGCTTCCTCTGGCATATTTTGGACATATTGCAAGGAGGGGTCAGTCCTTGGAGAGGGACATCATGCTTGGGAGTGTGGAGGGACAGCATCATAAGAGAGGAAGACCCTTGATGAGATGGATTGATTCATTTACTGAGGTAATGGGGATAGCTGTGTCAAAGACAATAAAATTGGCACAAGATATAGCAGGGCTTATGGCTGTTGTACACAGGGTCGCTATGAGTTGCAGATGACTTGACATCACATAACAACAACAACAATAATGGTGTCTAAAACAAAAATTTACAGAATGGATTAATTGGTTTTCCATCCAATCAGACATACATATATTGTGACTGATTAAACAACAGCCCTCTTCTCTCTTAATGAAAATATCATAATTTTAGTCTATTTTTTATTGTTTTATTACTTTTTGAATTTTGATGTTTTAGTTTCATTTTATTAATTTAATTTTACTCTTTAGTAAATAAATTATAACATTTCAAAAGGGTAATATAAAGGTGTTTGGAAAGAATGTTTATCAAGTTTAAAGGTGGCTATTTTCTTTGGTTTGTTCAAGGGTCATAGGGAATAAGTTACTATATATATATATAAACACTATATATAATTATTCACTGTATATAATTACTATATATATAATTATATATTTATATAAAACAAATGGATTCATTTTTCCAAGTCTCTTTTACAGTATGAATTGCTATTCAATTGTTAAAGCCATGTCATTCAGTTCATTTAGACTGCTAAAGTGATAAATGGAGAGTTTTACTTGAGTTTGGGTCGTTTGGTTTTTTGAGTTTTTTTCATATCTTCTTTGTCACATGTCTCCATGCTATTCCATTTACCCAAATAATTGGATTGGTAGAAAAATGCTGTCACTACTTTTTAAAACTCACCATTTCTAAAAGAGATGGTCGACCTTCTAATTGAATGTGAACACTGGCTTCTTTTCCACTGTCCATTTTCCCAAAGTTGCATAAGAAATGTAAACAATATGGATCATCTATTATGCAGTACTTGAAAAGAATTATAAAAAATACTACATTAATACCAATATTTTTTTAAAGTAAAAATATTTTGCTCGGAATTAAAAATCTGCTTTTTATGACTGGCATTGAAATATATTAATATAAGCAAAATGCAAATGTTTAGAAGTGATAAAATATTTGAAATGGAGCATGTACTCTTATTACTCTTATGAACTTAACTTTCTCAGAATTAAAAGATTCCTAATTAGTCTTGCTAAATTACATGTATAAATTACATTATATGTTCTTTAGAAAACTTGTTAATTTTAAAGACAGGATGAAAATGGATCTCAAACAACAGAGGCTCAACAGCATCCTGATGTCCTGGAAACTCTGCAACAATGGATATCATTGGTATGTGCAGCAATGGATATTGGACTTTACAGGTATTACTTAGATAAAAAGTGAAATTATAATGTATACTTACCCAGGGTCTATATTTTTTTTAAACATATAGCAGTGATTTTATTTAACAGTCACATAGTAGGTCTTATTAAGATGGTGACATTTAGACAAAGACTTTAAAGAGTAGAATCGGTTAGATTCTTGAGGCTGCCTAGGTCTCTATCTCAACAGATACTATTCTTCTCAACCCTGGAATAAGTTGTATGATATTTCCTAGACAATATTCATATCTAAAGAATGCTTGTAAAGGTCCCCAAACCTACAGTAACTCAAAGTAACCCAACCTAATCTGTGTGATAATGAATGGATTTAACAGACTCCTCTAATTTTTTTATATACTCTTCCCCTCTTTCATCCCTATCTCTCAGTTTTATTTACATCCCAGGGTCTATCTTAATCCTCCCATCATCCCTGTGCCTCACATACAGGAATATCACTCAAATTGACACTGTCTTCTACCTCAACTAAACTCCGTATATGTTTAAATGATTCACTCTTCTTTCTTAGAAAGCACTATTAAAACTGGAAAAATCAACACATACCAATGATCTCTTATCAGTCTTTGACATGAATGTGAATATATCTTTCATGGCTTCCATTGCAGTCTTACGCTGCTGCACACACTCTCTTTGATAATTTTCAAAGTGGCATTCCCCAGTGGTGGTCTATGAAGACAGAAAGCAAGAAACATCTCTTACGGTTGAAAAGAGCAATAATCTACACAATTTAAACATCTTGTTGATAGAAAATATTTTTGAAGTGGAGAGGTTTATTTCACAGGAAGTAAATCTCTTTGACAGAAATAAAACAAACATACAAAACTAGAAAAATAATTATTGTTGGTTTATATTGTTGAGTTAGAACCAACTCTTAGCTGACTCTCTGGCTCATTTTCAGAGGCTTTAAATCACACTGGGAGGATGCCTATTTTTACCCTGACAAAAAAATAATAAAATTTAAAAGGTCTGATAATATGACCTAAACTAGTAAAACAGCCTTAATAACCTTACAGAAACTAGTGATAGAAATAATTGAATTTACTGTTAAGATGAAACCAAACACTTCTTTGGTTTCAGGCAAGAAACAACAATAAATTACCACAGCATGTTCCATTATAAAAATCTGAAATTCAAGTAAAATTAAGAAAGGTAGAAAATTTTAAACCAACTTATTAAGTTTAAATTTTGATTACTAGTATTGAGACAATTAAAGTAAAACAATTTTGATGGACACATCAACACCAAAATATTTGTTCTTAAGTAGCTGTTTGAATATTGTTGTCTTTAAAAAAAGCTCCATAATTTTATAATCTTCAGAGGTCTATACCTCAAAAGTATAGGGATCTCTGACTTAGTGGCATAAAATTGTGCTGCCATTGCAAAGGTACATGGTTCAAATCTACAAGCTGCTCCATAGGAGAAAGATGGACAATCTGCTCTGATATGATTTACTACCTCTGAAAACTTGCTAGAGGGGTAGCTATGAGTCAGTTCTGACTTGACAGTACACAACAAAAGCAACACACCACGAAAATAAATACACCCTACAGTGAATATTCAGTACTGATCTAACGCATATTAAAAGTACTGTATTTTTACATATATTACGCATAGAACATAGAAAATGAAAATGTGAAGGCTTTTGATAGTTTTCAGAAAACTAGTTTATATTCTATTTGTATAAATTTAGGGTATACTGTAAAAACGCATAGTGAAATCATAGCAAATAGAGTAACTGTAACTAAATTAAATTAATAAAAAGCTCTATTTTAGCAATATTATTTAGAATCAATTATTTACTACATTTATATTTAGTTATATAAATTTTATTAAACACACAGAATAAAAGTCAGGGTGAAGGGAATGCATTTATACCTGCACATCTAAAACGTTGAACAGTTTGTGGGTGTGAGGGGTAAAAGAATTTGGCAGCATAATTTCCAAACTGACATTTGGAGCTCTGCTATGGCCAGCATTGATAACCTGAGAAGAAGATAAAAGAAAAATGATGTTTAAATGTTCTCCATAGGAATAAGTATGGATAACAGTGATCTTGGGTAAACTCAAATGCCCTGTACAGCATGCATAGCGGTGTTTTGCCACTGGTAGCTTCACAGCAAAAGGAGAAAGAGTGAGTACCCACGGTTAGAATTTGAAGAGTTTATTAATAATGTCAAACTCTAGTCATTATTTCTAGCCTTCCTTTAAAAAAATAATTCAGTCATATCATCCAGACTGATAGTTCATTAAGGAAGAAATTCTAATAATACACATTTATATGGCATGCTGTTTATATAAAAAATTATGTCCAAACGGTCTTCACAAATCTTTCCTGAGATGAACCAGCATTGCCCTCTGCTGCCAAGGGAGATGCTGAGATGTGCTAACGGTATGTCTAAGGCGAAAGTAACACAAAAACCTGTGTCTTCTAACTAAATTCCATACCATTTCACACCACCGCTGTTGAGAGAATAGTTATCAGCAGAAAAAACAAAAACACATTTCTGATCATGGTGATTATAATCTTAATGTATCCAGAAAATTGAAAAGGGGTAGATTTTTTTTATTTTAGAAAGAGTAGACTGGAAATGTAATTATACTATTTAAAAATTGCATAAGAAGGTATTTCATTGTTGCCAATATATTTGGGAATACAAAGAGGTTTCCTCTACTCTATGAAAAACTGAAATTGGCCCAATATAATGCTTTCTGAGAGCTGGATTATAAAACTAATACTATGAGTTAGAAAAAAAGATGTGCTGTTGCAGCTGAGCAAAACAAGTGACTCTCAGACTCATTTGAAGTTTCTGGGGTAATATAATTTTCTCCCTCCTCTACTTCCTTTTCCCTTCCCCCAAGAAGCTGTGCTGCAATCCCTGAAGGCACATGGTTCGAATCCACCAGCTGCTCATGGGAGAAGGATGGGAAATCTCCTCAGGTGTGATTAACTGCCTCTGACACCCGGCAGGAGGGTCAGTTAGATTTCAGTTCCAACTCAGAGGTACACAACAAGAAGCAACAACAGGGTAATAATACCTCAGGTTAGGAATTCTGCATCACAGGGTAATTTGACTTCTTGGGTTGTTTTTTTTTTAAGGAAGCACTGTTATTGGATATAAGATTTTACAACCAGCTCAGCAATGTTTAAATATTTCAGTCTTTCCATGTCTTCATCAACATTTGCTAGAACCTGTTTGATGATAGCCTGTTGAACTTTTAAAAGATGTTATTTAATAAATGATGACCTTTTATCTAATAATTTCTATGACCTGAATGACAGACAAAGAAGATATTATGCAGAGAAGGGGAAGTGAAAACTGCTTTCACTTGATAATGACTTCCTTTTACTGAGAAGAGGTTTTATTGATTTCTATCAGAGAGGTGGACGATGACTAGGGAGGATAGAAGGAGAATTGACGCCTTTGAGCTGTGGTGTTGGAGAAGAGTATTGAATGTACCATGGACTGCCAAGAAAACAAACAGATTCTTGCTAGAGAGGATTAAACCAGGCTGCTCCTTGGAGGCAAGGATTCTGGGGCTTCGTCTGACATACTTTGGACATGTTGTAAGGAGAGACGGGTCTTTAGAGAAGGACATCATGCTGGGTAGAGTAGAGGGACAGTGCAGGAGGGGAAGACCCTCTATGAGGTGGATTGATTCAGTGACTGGGGTATCAGGGTGGGTGTGTCAGAGGCAATGCAATTGACACAGGACAGAGCAGGGTTTAGGGCTGTTGTACATAGGGTCGCTATGAGTCGCAAATGACTCGACGGCACATGACAACAACATCTATAGATACCTTTACTGATCCTGTTTTCTGTGTGTGGGCCCTAGTCATGTCAGTTTACGTCACTGTGCCTCTTACAAGTATTCTCTCTTGTCCCTGATTGTTTTCCACTACCTGTAGAAAGCCTATATCCCTGTACCTAGAGGAGCATGGGCTTGAGCACCAGTGACAAGACAATGGAGGAAGGAAGGAGAACAGGAGAGGGATGGGTCTGGGTACGGCCTGTTGAGGTGCCCCCCACCTAAGTAAGTCTCAGTGGCCGAGGGGCTGGTTACACTTTCGTGGAATGAGTCATAGTGGTCACATTCTTCCAGTTTGTTATAAATCTCAACAGTCAACTTTTCTTACATGGAAAGTGAAGTTCATTTTCTCTGCCATGCACATTTGAGGTTCATTCTCCTCATCTGATCCGTAAACAAATGAAGTGGGGTTAACAAACCTGATAGAAAGAAATGCACAGTTAGACTGTTTTACTTGATGAGATGTTACAGTCTCTTTACCATAATCTGGACAGTACATCTTAGAGTCACTGTTGATGGGTGTCACTCTGAGGAGCCCCAGAGGCACACTGGCTTGGCCTCAACTGCTAACAGAAAGGTTGGCTGTCCGAGCCAACAAGGAGGTTTCTCAGTTATAATCTTTACAGTAGTAGATTTCCTGGCTTTCCTTCTATGGAGACACAGGATGAGTTCGAATCACCAACTTTCTGGATTAGCAAGTGCTTCACTAGGGGTCCTTAATTCGAGATTAGAATTCATTTAAAAAAACCTCAAGTCAACTTGTGTCTCTAGCAGATTCTTACTCATGGTGACCCCATGTGCACAGAGTAGACCTGTGCTCCATAGTCTTCAAAAGGTGGTGATCTTTTGAAAAAGATTAACTGACCTTTCTTCTATGGCACTTTTGGGAGGCTTTGAACTCTGAATTTGTCAGTGCTTAACTATTTTCATTCCCCACTGACTCAGCTACAGTATTAACCAAACCCATCCCACTGCTGTCCAGTCAGTTCTGACTCCTGGTGACCCTCCCTCCGAGGCTGAGTAACTCAGAAATCTCATAGATAGAAGGCACAAGGCTGGCTCTCATATCGCGATACCTTTGTCACATAAGTAGATATGGAACTGGAGAATGGTGATTTGGCTAAGCTCACAGGGCTCAGCACTTACACTTTCCACCACTAATTAGCATGATGAGGCAGAATGTCACTGTCCATCTCTGGGTGCCTTCAGAGCTGCACAGTGGACAATGAAACACTGGGAGTGGCCCGTGAGTGCCTCACTGGGGTTCTTCTGATGGGAGATCTCCTCTAGCTGGGCACTACAGAGAGGATTAAAAGAATGACTAGCTAAGCAAAGGATTTGGAAGCAGGAGTGGTATTCACTTCTTAAACAACATGCCTCCGGAAACTCTATGAACGTTGATAAATGTCAATAGTTGTAGAAGGGGCTTCAGGCCTTTTGTTCATAGGGTCGCTACGAGTCGTGCTTGAATTGACAGCAATCAACAACAAAAACAAGCAAAAGATAAGGAACCCTGGTGGTGCAATCGCTAAGTGCTTGCTGCTAATTGAAAGGTGAATGCTTGGAACACACTTAGTGACTATGCAGAAGAAAAGACCTGGCAACCTGCTCCTGTAAAGACAGTTATTGGTGGCCTCAAGACAGCTCCAGCTCCTAGCAATTCCATGTACAAGAGAATGCAAGTCTCTACGGAACTCTAAGGTGAGTTCTGCTCTGCCAGCTGTTGGCTCCAGGAATTGAACTTGACTCCATGGCACACAGCAACATGAAGCAAGAACACACCAGGATAATTGTTAAGAGACAGAAACAATATCCTTTAAACATACACTAAGAGCTTCATGAACTATAATTACCTTAATCAATTGTAAAAAATGTTATAAAACAAAATGTGTATGAATCATTGAATGAAAGCCAGTGTGTTTGGTCAACTTTCACTAAAAAAAACAGCCAAAAAACTGAAACACATTTTGACCAGTAATATAAAAGTAATGGGACTTAAAGTCAGCTATAAACTTTGTGATAGGCTTCATACTCCACTTACCCATGAACAGTCAGCATCACCTCGTACTTCAGAGGGATTGCTAAAGTCACTTTGTTATCCCTTAGAGAATCAATTTCCCCTTCATTTTCACTACAGTAGCAAATAGAAAACACTGTTAGATTCCAATCAAGCACAACAAATCATCTTTGGAGAAAGCTAGTTACATATTCAGATATCTAACATATTCAAGTTGGTTTAATTAACATTTAGGGGAAGAGAGGAAATAAAAGTAGATTATAGGAAGAAATCATTTTTATGACAAGGCTGCAGAAATTTGCTCCCATTAATTGAACTATCATTTGTTCCTCTGCTAATTCAAGCCAAATCAAGCCCAATGTCACTGACTCAATTTACACTCCTAGCAACCCTCCCATTGGATTTCTGAGGCTGTAAATCTTTTGGGGAAGACATGTCTCATCTTTCTCCTTGAGATCAGTTGGTGGAATCAAACCACTGACCAACAGAGCTCTAGTGACCTAATACATTGGCACCCAAACACTTAATGTATTAGGTCACTAGAGCTCTGTTGGTTAGAGGATTTCCCCCCCTTTGTTGTGTACCATGGAGTAGGATCCAATTTCTAGCTGACCATGGTAGGTTTTCAGAGGCAGTATATGGCAAGAGAGGTGACTGCCTAACTTTCTCCTGTGGAACTGCATGCCTTCCGGTTAACAACGCAATTCCTTACCACTAAGCGAATGCAATAAAAGCTTTCTCCAACAACTGATGGAATATATCTACATGGTTTTTCTAGGGGTCTCCTCCCTAAAATTATGAGTACATTAGTTATTTGTTACAATACAGCTATGATTTTATTTTAAAAATAACAAAATATACCAGGCAGCATGCACTGTGATGTTGAGTTCTTCTTCCACCTGATTAAGTGAGCTTGCATCCAGAAGAAAGCTAATATCTACCTGTAAAACAGAGAGAAGGAAAACATACTTTCCCTCATAGTCCAACAACATATAGAAATATTTCTTTTTTTAAATAAAACAACTTAATTTTCCTTCTTCTTGCTCTTTTACTTTCTGTTGAAGTGTAGAACTCTTCCAGCGACTGTCTCTTATTTGGCAGAAAGGTACAGAGAGAAGCTGTTGACATGGCAAATTTAAAGCACAGGCATTTCCACAAGTCAAATCCAGAGACAAAGCCTCCTCTGATTGTAAATACAGGCCCAGACTGACAAAATGCTTTCACAACTTGAATCAGGACCCTTGCCAAAAAACACCTTTTTGTATAGCAGAGGTAACATGCCTGGCAGACAGGACCACCTGGGGCCGGGTGGGAGTGTTGGGTAAGGGTGAGCAGGGGGAGCAGTGCTCTGAGTGACACGTTCACATGCCCATCTCACCAGAAACATGGCCCCTCCCTCTTTTGACAGTGAATGTTGCCAAGAATATAAACAATCTCAAGGAATTCAGACTCATTTGGTTTGGGTATTGGTCTTATTTCATCACTTAACTATCTACCTTCAGTTTAATCACAGGGAGTAAGAGAAAATATTTTGTTTTTATGTTAGTAAAGAAAAACCACAAATGCTAAATGCTTACCTTTGATAGCCGGTCTACATATATATAGCCAACACTGCAGTCAATTTTTACTATGTCTATTACTTCACAAGTGATTTGTTTATCTTCCTAAAAGTAAAAATTAAACAACTGGTTTGAGTAGGAAGGAAGCAAGAAGGTTATGTTTTTAAGGACAAGACCAGAAGTGTTAAATTTTCCCAAAAGTATTTACTTTTAATATTGCTAAAGAGACAGACAGATGGAACTCTAGTGGCCCAGTGATAAAAAGTTGTTCAGTTCAAACCCACTAGTTACTATGTAGAAGGAAAATGGGCAGTCTCCTCCCCTGACAGTCACTGCCTCTGAAAACCCACTGGAGGGTCAGCTATAGGTTGATTCCAACTTGACAGTACATAATGATGTATATGTGTGTGTGTGTGTATATATATATATATATATATATATATATACACACAGAGAGAGAGAGAATAAAAATTTGCATACTAAATATTAACAGGGTTATTAGGCTGGTCAAAAAGTGGCACATGAATAGATTTATTATTATGTATTTATCTTGACAATTTTTAGAATGCTTAAGTTTTTCCTCTTACTTATTGCAAATAGGCTTTCAATCCTAAAGGGAAAGGCAGAGATGGATGCCTGGAGTGTCAAAGGCCTCTCTCCAATGCCTTTAGTGTTCAATCAAAGCCCCACTGTTGTCTTTAGTCAATTTTGACTCAAAGGGACCTTCTATTGGTCCCTATGCAAATCTGTAAATTGTTATGGAAACCTGATGAAATAGCTAATGGGTTCCATTTGTCAACTTTTAGGTTAGGAGCCAACCACTGTAACCACTGTACCTTCAAGGCGCCTTGCAATACTTACCAGATCTAATATCTTAATGAAGTAGAGACCTGTGGGCAGTTCAATGTGCAGAGTGGTTTCATAGGCATCATCTCCAGCATTAAACAAAGACACATTCAACATCAATGTCTTCATGCTTCCCACAGCAAGATAGGTCTTATTTTCATATGGCCTAAAAGTTAAGTAATATTGCTTAGTACTTGATTGGGAAATCAGAGTCCCATCTCTTCACGTATCTCATGTTTACCCCAAACAACATGCCTCTGGAAACTCCATGAACTCTGATAAATGACAATAGTTTTAGAAAGGGTTCAGGCCTTTTGTTCATAGGGTCGTCATGAGTCATGCTCAACTCGACGGAATCAATAACAACAACAACAAAGAGCCACGGAAATCACCAAATAGAAGTGACTACAAATCCATATTTAAAAGAACTTTTAACTTCCCTTATTTTTGGATAAATTCAGTTTCTCTGAGTGTAATATAAACTGAAAATAGTTAATTTTTAAATTAGCTATAAATTGGTGTCCTTTCCCTTTAATTTGGTGGTGTGCCTCTTGATTTGATGGTTGGGGTTGTTCATTATTTCCTCATTCTTTTACAATATTTTCCCAAAGTATTTTTTAATTTTCGTTTTCTCTTTTTTAGTCCCTGGATAGACAACAACAAGCTAATACCCAACCCAGAGATGATATGTAAGTGAAAGTAGACTAGGAAAGAAAATAGTTGGGATGTTTCAGTGGAAGTAAGCAAGGCAGAGGAAGGAGTGCTTTGTCTGAAATCTGCTAAGTAGAATTTATGAAGCTGATTGGTTAGTTTTACCAATACCAAGGCTACTTTAAAACCAGAACTGCAAAACCACTTCACTTGCATGTGAATCAGAAAGAGCAGGTTGCTACAAACCCATAATGTAACTGAATTCAGATCTGTTGGCTCTGCCACTAGTTCTCTGCAAAGGACTCATGAGCATATATAAGTCTTAGTCAGTAATAATAACAACAGTATTACTCTTCAGTCAAGACTGTATCTAGGGGAGCTCTGGTGGCCTAGTGGCAAGAAACTGCAACTACAATCCCAGAGGTGCACGGTTCGAATCCACCAGATGCTCTGCCGGGGAAGGAGGAGCAATCTCCTCCTGTACCAGTCAGATCTGATTTGATGGTACACGCACACAAAAATAATAAAATCAAATAAAAAAATTTAAAAAAAAGACTGTATCAAGCACATTCTGTGAAATCCTAAGGAAAAAAAATACACATGACATGTGAGGACCTAGAAGTTTAAGAATTCATCCAATCTCCTAATTTCCACTGCCACTGAGCCCATGCCAACTAACAAGGATCCTCCATTGACCTTCCAAGGCTGTGAATCTTAATAGGGGAGAGATTGCTTTATCTTTCTCCTGAGGAGGGCCTGATGAGTTTGAAATATTGACCTTTTAGTTAACAGTCCAACACTTAACCTACTACACCAATAGAACTACTTTATAGTATGGTGGTGTAGTCTGTTTTGTGCTGCCAAGCCTAAAGCCAACTTTAACCCTTTGTTCTCTAATCCACCAATCTCCTCTTGGACAATTTACAGCCTCATAAAACTAGCTACAAGTCAGAACCGACTTGACAGCAATGAGAGGGAGAGAGTAACAAAGACTTAAGGCAAATGCAGTTCTCTTTGTTCACATTACTCCTTCCATCAAATTGATTTTGACTCAGAAGGATTCAAAGTGATGAAGGAGAATGGTCTCACAGGGTTCTCTCGACTATAATTTTGATGGAAGCAGATCCACCAGGTCTTTTTCCTGCTGGAGCAGCTGGATAGTTTGAACTGCCAACCTTCCATTTAGCAGATAAGTGCTTTAACTATTGTGCTACCAGAGCTCCCTTTGCCTACGCAGTCCAGGCTTTTCCCTGTTGAAAGGATTCAAACAGCTGAATGCTAAAAGCCATTTTTTAGTTTCATGATGCCATGATTTTATAAGCTTTTCCCCAAAGACAGAATTCTTAGACGTTCGATAATTTTTAAACTTAGAAAAAAAATTCATTTACACTAGAAAAAGATGCAATTCAAAGGAAAATACTTGTATAAGGATAACCAAAACAGGACTAAGAAATAATAACAACTAGCACTCCATAGTCTAGAAAGCATCTTCTATAATATTTGCATCATTCTAACCCATGTCTAAGTAAGATATTAAAGTTAGAATAAACTAGTAATGGGAATTTTAAATGCATGGGAGACATTAACAGTTATTTGTGAACTGACTGAAGACAAAGGGTTTATGTAGGTGTGGAGTACGCTATCAATGAGTTTTTAATTTGTGTTTTAGGTGTTAGTTGAATATATGTAAGTGATTACTTGTTTACAATGGAAATCTCATGTATCATAAAACAGGTCCTATGCTTATAGATCCCTGATGCAAAACTCATTAAAACCCGCCTTCCATCTTTGTAGAACTTACACTGCAAAGAATAGGAATATAAACAAATATAACAAATACATGAGAAAGAGTAATGAAGGAAAGGATCTGGGAGCCCAGGGGATGAAAGCATTTGTCTGTGAATGGGCAAGGTAATGTAGTGTTATGTTTTTCTGTGATTCTGTTTATTTCAATTGAACTTCTCTAATGAAGACTTGTTCTGAATAAAGAATCTTAAATTTCATGAGAGAACCTGAATTATATTATTAATTGATTTCTATGTTAAATCCTATAATCCTTTAGTGTATGTATTCCATCTTATAAATATAGATTTTATTTTTCTATCAAACTGCTGCTGAGACTTTGGGCAGTTCCAGTTTCGAGCCAAGACAGTAAAACCTACAAAAGCTGCAGCCTGTACAAAGTGGAAACCTGCAAGTAAAGAGCTAAAACACTTTCCATCACTAAAGAGTGAATGAAGACTTTTACACCCTGCCAAAGGCAGAGAACTTTTAATACTCGGGAAAATAAGAATGCCCTGTCAAGTTCCACGTTCCACAGGATGCACCACATAAAAAGGCATTTGGTAACTATATCTGTGCATTTCTGTTAGACACTCAATACATATCCAGATACTCATGATCTCTTTAATCCTGGATCTCTGGTAGCTCAGTGTATAAGGAGTTGTGATGCTAAACAAAAAATAGTTGGTTCAAATCCACAAGTTGCTCTGTGGGAGAAAGGTGAGTACTCTCCTCTCATGTGATTTACAATGTCTGAGAACGTGATAAAGGGTCAGTTGTGAGTTGGCTTAAAATTACATAACAATTCCTTATAACCTCTAGATAATGGACTTATTTTGGATACTGATTTAAGTTATTTTAGCAACATATTTAAATTAAATAAACAAAGTTCTATTTCAACAATTAAAAAAAAAGATGTATCACAGAATATTTTTTAAAGGAAACCTAGTATAGAGCATAGGTTGTAAAACTACTAACTGCATGCCAGATCTGAACTGCTTTCTGTTTGTGAAAATAAAGTATTATAGAAACAACCATACTCATTCATTTATCCATTTTCTATGAGTGATTTCCATAGTAAACAGAGTATTTGAAACAGATTTTCTGCAAAGCCTGAAATACTTGTTCCTTTATAGAATACTATTTAAACAAACTCTGTATTATTCTGATATCTATAGAATATATACAGTATAGAGAGCTAGAGAGCTCTGGAGGTATATATAGCAGATAGGAAATTGCACTGCTAGGCCAAAGGCTACACAACCCTCTGGCGCTTCAAATCCAACAGTGGCTCTGCGAGAGCAAGATGGCTATGAGTCAGCTATGAGTCACCTCCAACACTGTGACAATGACATGATGTCATATTTTCCCCCCAGTTGTTATCAAGTAATTCCAATACATGATAATCTCACGTGTGTCAGAGTAGAAATGTGTCCCATAGAGTTTTCAATACCTCTGGTCTTTCCTAAGTGCATGGCCAAGGCCTTTCTTCCAAGGTAACCTGAGTAGATTATTGTTGTTGCTCTGTGCCATCGAGTCACTTGCGACTCATAGCGACCCTATATACAACAGCCCTAAACTCTGCTGTCCCGTGCCAGTCACACTTTCTCCAACACACCCATACCAATTACCCCAGTCAATTAATCAATTCACCTCATAGAGGGCCTTCCCCTCCAGCGCTATCCTTCCACCCTCCCAAGGATGATGTCCCTCTCCAAGGACCGGTTCCTCCTTAAAACATGTCCAAAGTATGTCAAACAGAGCCTTAGAATCCTTGCCTCCAAGGAGCAGCCTGGTTTAACCCTCTCCCAGATGAATCTGTTTGTTTTCTTGGCAGTCCATGGTACATTCAATACTCTTCTCCAGCACCACAGCTCAAAGGCATCAATTTTCCTTCTATCTTCCTTAGTCATTGTCCAACTCTCTGATGCATAACAAGTGATTGCAAAGACCATGGCCTGTATCAGACACACATTAGTCTCCAGAGACAAACCATTGCTCTTCAGTGCTTTGGAGAGGTCCCTAACAGCAGACTTTGCCATAGCAATATGTCTTTTAATTTCCTGGCTGCTGGTGCCAAGAGAGTCGACTGTTGAGCCAAGCAAATAAACCTGAGTAGATTAGAATCACCAAACTTCCAGTTAGTACCTGAAAATCTTGCTGTGTGCAACACATTGGGACTCCTTGATTATAAAACTACATACTGAATCCTTGTCTGTGGAGTCAGTGTTTCCTGTGCTGGGAACCTTTGTGTTAACATGAATACATGTTTGCTGGTGGCAAAGTGTGAAGTGGGAAAGAAGAAATATGTGTAGCACAGCTGACCTAGGTTCCCTCTACTCTTTTGTAATCATGTTACAAGTAAAGGGACCTAAGAGGTTCTAAAACTAAACTTCTGCTTGACATTAAAGTTTAATTAAGACTTGTAGAAGAGCTGCCTAGAAATAGACATTTATAAAATATTCTGGCTTGTAACGAAGGCATTAGTCACTGAACACCTTTGGGAAAGAAGTTGGCACTTAGACAAGCAACAGAAGGTGAAAGCGGTGCATAAACAGCTAGGTTCCAAGACAACAGCAAATTAAAGAGAAACACAGTGTTCACATTTCAGCAGCTAGACGCCTGGTTTATTTTCCATTTTCAGCTATCACAATGCTACACCACCAGAATTATGATGCTACACGTTTTTACAACTATGTCTTACTATATTTTCAGCCATTTACAAAGTACCCT